TGTGTTCCTTTGATATTGATTTAATCATTTTCCTATTCTTAGCATTATGGATATTTAGCTTGTCATCTGTTTCTGATGAATCATCATGTTTCTTGTTCATTAGATAAAAGGGAAATGCAATGGAAAGTATTTCTGCCTGGACCAGAAGTTGGCCTGAGCTTCTAAAACTACACCCAGTGGTAAGATTGTCTCACCTTTTCATTAAGATCCAGGGTTGGGGAACATTTGGCCCAAGGGCCTTATAAGGCCCTCAGAATCAATACCAGCTAATATCACACACGTCACCAACTTAGCCTGACCAAATCTAGCAGGCTCATTTTTAAGTTAATAATTTTTTTTAAATCCTCATCCGAGGACATTTTTGCATTTATCTTCAGATAGAGTGGAGGTAAAGAAGGAGGGAGAGAGAGAGAAACATTGATGTGAGAGAGAGATATCGACTGGCTGCCACCTACATGATCCCAACCGGGGCTGGGGACAAACCGCACCGAGGTATGTGTGCCCTTAGCAGGAACTGAACCCAGGACTCTCTAATCACCAAGCCAACCCGACCAGGGCTAAGTCAATAATTTTGTATGGCCCACGAATGATGTTATAAATATCCAAATAGCCCTTGGCAGAAAAATGATTCCCCATTCCTGCATGTCTTTGTACCTTTTTTTTTTTATCCTCACCCGAGGACATTTTTTCATATTTTGTTCAGATAGAGTGGGAGGGGGAGAGAGAGAGAGAGAGAAACATCGATGTGAAAGGGACACATCGAGTGGTTGCCACCCGCACAACCCAACCAGGGCCAGGGACCAATTGCAACTGAGGTACGTGCCCTTAGAACCAAACCCGGGTGTCTCTGGACCACAGGCCGATGCTCTAACCACTGAGAAACCGGCCAGGGTGTGTACCTTTTCTTTACCCCCTACTGCCTCTTTAAGATCATAACCTCTTCCTTTCTCTGGTTGTGATTACAGGGTCTGCCCAGCTCCTGCTGCTCAGAGTTCATTGTCCACAGACCCCTGGCTCCCTTTGCAGCCTCCCCAGTTCACTGACCCACGGTGCTGGTCAGGTTTCCTTCATACCAATAGGTGTCCTGACCCTGCAGCTGCAGATGAGGGCGGCAGGGTGGTAAGAGGGCTGATCTAGGTTTGAATGCTTATTTGCGTGTTGACCACTTCTGAAACTTGAATACATAATTTAACCATTCTGAGCCTTAGTTTTCTCATCTGTAAATTAAAGATAACAATAGTCTCCATCTTACTAGATTGTGAGGATTCTTTCAGTCACCCCTCCAATATATATTGTCTGATAGGTGTCAGACATGGTTTTAGTAGCTAAACATAAAGGTGGTGAACACAAGAAAAAAAATCCCTGTGTACATAAATTCACTGAGGAGGAGTCAGGAAAATAAACCAAAAAAGTATAAACCAACAAACTAATAATAACTATATAGATAGATCTTTGAATTATATGTATATGTTTTTTTTATCCTCACCTGAGGACTTTTTTTCGTTTTTTGTTCAGATAGAGCGGGAGGGAGACAGAGGAGGAGGAGAGAGAGAGAAACATCAATGTGAAAGAGACACATCGAGTGGTTGCCACCCGCACGACCTAACCAGGGCTGGGGACAAACTGCAACCGAGGTACATGCCCTTAGCGGGAACCGAACCCGGGTATCTCTGGATCACAGGCCAATGCTCTAACTGCTGAGCCAAACTGGCCAGGGCTGTATATGTTTTTATATATTATGTAAGTATGTATGTATGTATGTATGTATCTGTCTATCTATCTATCTATCTATCTATCTATCTATCTATCTATCTATCTATCTATCATCTGTCATCTATCACTCTATCCTTCTATTTACCTAAATTTGAGGTAGCAAGTATTTGTGAATAAGAATACAGAATGGGGGAAGAAGGGCCAGCGTGTTGTTTTATTTGGGGTGGTCTTTGAGGGCATTTCTGAGGAGGCCATGTTTAAGGAGCAGCCCCCATGAAGTGAGGAAGGCAGGCCAGTGAATAAGTAGGAAAACATGTTCCTGGTGGAGGGACTATCGAGACAGAGGCCCTGAGTCCTGGCCGGTGTGACGCAGGTGGCTGAGTGTCATCCATGCACCAAAGGGTGGGTTCCCTGTCAGGGCGCTTGCTGGGTTTGCAGGCTTGATCCCCTGTAGGGGGTTGCAGGAGGCAGCCAATCAATGTTTCTCTCTCTCTTCTTCTCCCTTCCTCTTTCTCTAAAATCAATAAAAACATATTTTTAAAAAAGATAGAAGGCTCTGAGCTGGGATTAAATGAGGCTATACAAATAGAGGTTTGGCTTAGTTATGGCACAAAGTGAGCTGCCTAATGCTACAACTGTTGCTACACCAACCATCACCACCGCTGTTGTAATAAAGTTGTAATAAGGGGGCCAAGAACGGACTTCTGACTGCTATTCCCAGACCCTGGCGTAGAGCTGTAAGTGTGTCTTCCTCTATCCCATTCCCGGGAGCCCCAGCGGAATGTGCACCACCCATCCACCCCTCCTCCAGCACAGTGTCCCTCCCTCCTGCCCATCACACCCTATCCATAAAGGTTTCTTTTTTCTGTTTTTAATATGTTTTTATTGATTTCAGAGAGTGAGAGGGAAAAAGAGGGAGAGAGGAACATTGATGTGATTGGTGGCCTCCTGCACAAACCCTACTGAGGATCGAGCTGCAACCCCAGCACGTGCCCTGACCAAGAATCGATCCTGGCAATCACCTGGTGCCTGGGACGACCCTCAATCACCTGAGCCACACCGGCCAGGGCCATGAAGGTTTCTGAAGTCGGCTACATGGTGAGCCTGAAGGATTGCCTCTGCTTTTCCCTCCATTCCCCAAAGACAGCACCCAGAACAGGGTTCTGCACACAGTATAGACTTAATTGGTGCTGACAACCGGGGTCCCTCAGCCCACCATCTCCTTCTTCCACCCCCTCAGATTGAGAGTGGCCTGATTTTGGTCTGAAAAAAAACCAGCATAAGTGGCTCCAAGGATTTGGGTCCCAATAGACTCCTAGGCCCTTTCCTGTCCTGGACAACCCTTTGCGGTTCCTGGAGTGGGTTCAGCCGTGAGGAAGGAGACCCTGCTATATTTCCTTCTAGATCGTTCTACAACCTAACTTCTTCCCCTCTAGCTTCTCCACTGATGTCTGCTCCCAGGTTATTTCCCTCCTATCCCTGTCTCCTGCTCTCTCGCTCTCTCTCTTTTAAATTGTGTGTTTTTTAAAAAATTTTTTTAGCCCTGGCTGGTTTGGCTCAGTGATTGGAGTGTCAGCCTGGAGACCAGAGAGTCCTGGGTTCGGTGTCTGCTAGGGGTATGTACCAAAAAAAAAAAAAAATTCTTTTTGTTTTAAAGAGAGAGGAAGGGAGAGGGAGAGAGAGATAAAAACACTGATAGGCTGCCTCCAAGATGGAGTCAGTGACCTGGGCATGTGCCCTGATTGGAAATCAAACCGGTGGCCTCTCGGTGCATGGGACGATGCTCAACCGAGCCACACTGGCCAGGTTCTCTTGCCCTCTCTTTATTGCTTTCTCTGTAGGCCAATCCTGCTTCAGCACACATTTCAATACCACATTTGGGGAGAGAGGAATGTAGTAAGTATAGACAACTGAATTATGAAAGGGATTTCTTTTTTCATAAAGAAATGCAACTTTATTATTTTCAAGTACATATGTAGTGCCTCAAACTAATGTCTTATAAAAGGTCACCAACTAAAGGTCTTGCAGATGTTTCTTAAACAAATACATAAGAATTGATTATAATTAATCCATACACTCACTACTTCTAAATGGAGATTCCTAAAGTGCTTGAAAAGGATTGTTTTAGGTAGACTAAATATGCCACCCTTAGCAATATTGTTTATGCTCTTAATTTACTAAACAAATGCCTTTTGTATTGATTGTGCAAAGATAAGCTTTTGTCTACAGTCAATAAATCTCAAATTAATCCGGCCCAAATTATTGTGGTTTCCCACTTAGTTTTCCAAGCCCAAGGTAATGACTCACTTATTTCAAGGCACTTCTGATAAAGTAGAATTCCACTGTGAAGAAGTAACAGACCTTGGGAGGTGGCTTATGGGTTTGACCTAAAGTTTGCTTTTTATGCTTCCTTTCTTTCTGCCTTAGGTGTTCCATTTTCCTTGGGTGACTCGCACTTGCTTTGTTCATCTAGGTCTCTCTGCAGGACATTCCCAAAGCCTTCTAAGCCAGTCCTAAAGAATGGGCAGAGCTGCCTGCAGAGCAGATGTACTAGTTGGGGAGGGGGTAAGGGGAGGAAAAGCACCTCTCGTAGGAACTGGAAACCAATTGCTCATCTTAGGGAAAGTGGGTGCAATGAACATCAGCATGAAGGGCATTTGCCTGGGAGGAATAGCCCTGCTGACTAGAGGTCAAAGGTCCCCCAGTGCTTTCCCTCTGATCCAGAGGTCTGACCATGTTCATGACCTAAGCTGATTCTGCATGTCCCTTGAAGACAGGAAGTTTCTGGGAACCCCTCCACCCCAATTCCAGCTGTTGGCTAGGGAATACCTTGGCAGTGCCTAGGGATAATGCAGGTTCATCAGCATGGGCACGAAGGGGAAGGGGGTGGGAGAGGCAGGGAATGAAATGGCAACATCCCTCTCAGAACAACATGGAACTTCTGAGTTCTTAGCATCCTAAAGGGCGGGTGTTACCAAGTGCATGTGATTGACAGAACTGGAGCATCGGTGACACTTGGGCCGCATGGACCACAAAGTAAGGGTCAGTGGAACTTTGTGGCACGTAGGTGTGGGATCTCAGTGAAGCTCCCCAATTGCCCTCTAGTTCTGCCTCTGCTGCTACTCTGATGACATCTGAATTCGGCCTGCCAGCAGGGCACTCTAATGAAAGAGCAGGACACAGAGCTGGAGCCCAGAGGTCTGGAGAGTCCAGACGGCAAATGCTCTGTCCTTGACCTCTTTCCTTCCCTGTGCCTCTCCATTGTTATTTGCCTCCTCCGCCACACCCTAGCCTCTCACCTGTCTGTTTGCTCAGCTCTCCTCTGGAGCTTCCTAACCAGCCTTAACAGGAGACAGGCCAGCTTCTCTTTCTGGCCTCAACAGGAGGAACCATTTGTGATTTCTAGGTTGGAGGGGAAGCAGTGGACGGTGTTGGGCAGGAAGCAAATGAGGATGAAGGTAGGAAGTGGGGTGAGGCTGGAGAGAGAGAGACGCTGGTAACCTGAGATGGTTTCCTTCCTCCTGGTTAGACATGGCCCTGCCTTTGGATGTTGATCTGTTCTAGTGAGAGGTTGGGGCAAAGGGATAGGGGATGGGGAGGGCTGGAGTATCTCTCAATTCCTCGTAAAAATAGACAACATGGTGGAGTGGGACGAGCAGGATCTGGGGAGAGTGTCAAACCTGACTGTTCAGAGTTAGGCCTGTGGGGCAATCACCCCAAGCTTATTTACCTACTCCCCCCAATTTAGCCTGCTAAATTGCCTCATTCTCTCTCCCCAAATCTTCCCCTAAAACCACCCCAGTTGCAGCTCCTCCAGGGCACCCCATCTTTTCCGTGCCTGGTTCTTCTTTCCAGTGGGCTCAGTAGTATGTCTCCTTTTCTACCCAGCCTGTGAGAGAGATTAGGGGTGCGGATTTCAAGGTGAGCATAAAAAGAGGCACAGGGGCTGGGGTGGCTGAGGCCAGGCAAATAGGAGCTGGGGAAAGGGGCTGAGGCAGGGAACTGTGGGCAGGTGAAAAGGGAGGGGGAGCAAACCCAGTGAGCTGGGGTCATAGATCAGGGGAAAGGAGAAACTTGTACATCGCACAGTAGAGGATGGGCATAGAGTAGTTGGGGGCGAAAATGCAAACGACAGTGACTCTTCAGGTAACAAAAGAGTTTCTAAAGGGGCAGCCACCTCTTGTTGCTGAGCAGAAATGTGGCCATGGGATTGGCATCTCTTGTCTTGTTCAGGAGAGGTCAGAAGTTCGGATTTTATGTGAAAGCCCCCAAGTTTTAAATATTGGGCAATTAAAACTAACACACACCTGTGCAATAGGGCAGGCCAAACCAAACATGATTCATGGACTGAACTGGGCTTATAGGCCACCCCTTTTCAACCTCCAGCAAGTGATCAAATGCTTGTTGGAAAGAATAGTAACTTGGTTGATCCTGGGAATCAGGAGGCCTTGGCTCTCATGTCAGCTGTGCTGCTTCTTGCTCTGTGACCTTGAGCAAGTACTTCCCCTCTGCACCTCGCTTTATCTGTAAAATGTGGCGGTGGGACAGATGGCCCGAAGGGCCTTTCTAACTCTGATGTTCTGTGATCCCAGGTGGAAGAGACCAATGGTGTGTTAGGGGGGGACCTGAATCTGAGAGAAAGGGGGTGCAGAGAACAGGTTCAACAGAGTCAGGGCTCCGAGGACCTGGGACTCCAGGATCTCAGGGCACCGGCGACAGGAGCAGGATTCTGTAGCTGAAGTGGGGTTTGGGGTGGGACCCCTGGAGGGGCAGCTCGCAGAGGGGGTTGCATTTGCTGGGGGGTCGGGGTGAGGCGTGGAGGGGCTTACCGCCAGGATATCGCCTCAGGATGAGCTTTCGGACCTCATCATAGATGAAGATGAGGAGACTGTAGGGGAAGGCGCAGAACCACCAAGTGACCCTGAAAGAAGCAGAGGAGAGCGTTAGGAACCTTAGAGGCTGGCTGCACAGGGAAGACTTCGCTGGCCCAGAACGTGGATCCTAGAAGGTGCCCTATTATTTTAGTTTAGTTTTATTTACTTATTTATTTTTACTGAATTGAATTGAGAGAGAGAGAGAGAGAGAGAGAGAGAGAGAGAGAGAGAGAGAGAAACATCAACTTGTTCTTCTACTTATTTATGCATTTATTGCTTGGCTCTTGTATATGCCCTGACCAGGAATCAAACCTGCAACTTTGGCATATCAGGTCAACTGAGCTACCCAGCCAGGCTAGAAGGCGCCCTTTTAAAGCAACACTCACTTGAGCGGGTACATCCGGAGGGCCACACCCATGCCTGGGCAGTAGGATAGAAAGGCAGCCAGCGCTGTCTCTTCCAGGAGCCCAAAAATCAAAATCTTGTTCCTGGAAAGGCAAAGCAAGACGAGGGTAAGTAGCATTTGAAGGGAGGGAAAGGAGGGAGTGATCCAGGGAGACCCCGGTAGTGGAAGGGTCACAATGACATCTTCCCGTACCCTCTGCAGCCACCTTGTGCTGTGTGTCACCCAAGAAAGATTTTCTTTAATTTTTATGCTTATTCATTTTACCCCTTCTTGTTGTCTATCACACACATCATCATTCATTAGACAAATTATTTCTATGTGGTGGGCGATGTGCTCTGTTCCAGCGATGCCACGTGCAACCTGAGCTTTCTTCTGGAGACGTGGGACCTGCCCTTAGGCAGCTTACAATCTCACTGCTCCAGGAAAGTGGTCTGTGAAAGTGTCACCTCTGTATGGCTTCAGCAGTGCTTTTCAAACTTTTCACCCATTAAGGAACCCTCTTATTTTTCTTCTATAAGGGCCACATTTTAACGGATTTGTCTCACAAGCTGCATTTGTTCATATTAGTGATATTTCCCCATTTAAGATTAACTAGACATACCCAGCTTCCAAACGGCGCTAGCATGAGCATGCGGTTTCTACATTTACCACCTAGGCCTCCGCCTGAGTGACACTTTGGGGGCCTAGAAGCTTTCTCACAGGAAAGGGCTTGATTTCCATAAAGCTTTTTGAACAATGGAAACAGTATTTCAGGAGGGCCTCGGAGGGGCAGGGACCCCAGGTGGGCCCCGAAGCGCTGAGGCCTCCTCTGGTCAGGGGACTTTTTGGTATGAGTACTCCCCTGTCCCCAGCCCGACACTCTGTCTCGTTCCCCTTGGCCTCTGGGTTGGGCCGGGTTTAGCACAGTAGGGCTCAGCCCAGAACGGTACCAACCTCTTGGACTCTGGTCCTTGTTCCCTGCATTTCCCCCATGAGTGCCTGTGTTTATAGCTCCTTCACGTTGCCTTTATTTATCTAACAGACTTTTCCTTTTCTCTCCCTAGGATCTTCAATGCTATTAAACTTCCCCACAGTTCTGGCATCTTTATTTGTTCCCCCATAGTAAGAAATCGTGACAAAACTCATTGGGGAATTGTGCTCATTTTGAAGAAAATAAGGAGAACAAGAGTGACCTTCAGCATGTACCACCGTCCACGCTGCACTCAGAGTCGTGACTGCGTCCCTCACAGGTGCCAGACTGTAGAAGGCGAGCCACCAGTGTGGGGGCCAGTGGCCCGGGCTTTAGAGGTGACTTGTGTTAACCCTTACTAGCTGAGGGACCTCAGGCACATCATTTAACATCTGGGGGGAAATCTCATCCACAGACTGAAAATAATACTTAACTCATAGAGCCACTGTGAGGTTAAACAATGTCTCCGCATCCTTATCTCAGTGATTGGCACATGGTCACTCACACCATAAAAACATTGAACTTGACCCTGAGCAGCTCATAGACCCCACAAAGGCAACACCATTACCACAGGCAAGTGCTATAAAGTAGGGTGACCCGTGAGTGTAGGGGAGCATGGGAGAGCCTCTATTTAAAGCTGTGCAAAGAATGGGGTGGGTGTCACTACAGTACAAGACGGGGGAAGGAAGGAAGGAAGGAAGGAAGGAAGGAAGGAAGGAAGGAAGGAAGGAAGGAAGGAAGGAAGGAAGGAAATAAAACATCAGAAAGAGTTGTATTACCCTTTCTTCTCTCATCAATTTAAAACATGACTATGGATATACAGCTGGGTCACTAAAACCTGTCTCCCCAGCCAAACTGGGCCCAGGGGGTGAGGTGAGCTGGTGAGAGCCCCTCTGGCTGGGCAGGCGGATGCCTGGTGGGGAGGGTGCTCACTTCATGCCCTGCTGGAAGACTGAGTTGCGGCGGGTCTTGCAGATGATGAGGTCGGCCCACTGCACGACCACAATGCTGGCGAAAAAGGCCGTGTGGCAGGTGAACTCCACCACCTTCCGCTGCTCGTAGGTCTGGAGGAGGGCAGCAGAGAGGCAACCGTGTGAGAAGAGTCGGGACCAGAGTGCAGCACCACTCAGTCCGGTTGCTAAATCCCGGGCACCGAATCCACACGTAGCCCCCAACCCCAGTTGGCTACTACTGATCCCCTCTGCCAGGGGACCCCCTCGCATACACACAGTCCACTCACCCACTCCTGCCCATAGCTATCCTCCAGGTCATTTGTGGACCGGTCATCCCAGTCAAGGCGGATTCCCAGCAACCGTGACGGCAGGAAACCGTTCTCGGCCAGGATCACGAAGTAGGTAAAGAAGCCGCCTAGTGCCTGGATCATCCCTGTGGGTCGTGGGCAAAATGTAGGGTCTGGGTCAGAGAAGGAAGCTGGAGGGGGCCAGCGCCCACAGGCCAGAGGTGGATGTCCCTAATCCCGGGGGAACTGGCCCCTGTCCTGGACTCCCAAAGCTGGGGAAGGAATTCCCTCGGGTTCCCTCCTGAGCCCCAGGGCCCCCCAATACCGATCTGTCCATAGGCCATGCTGATGAGCCTCTCGTTCACCAGCTTGTCTGTCCGCGGGTTTCTTGGTTGCCGCTTCATGATGTCACTCTCAGCTGCCTCATAGGCCAAGGAGATGGCGGGGACCTGTGGGTGGGGAGTGGGGGGAGAAGGGCTTTGGAAGGGAGCCTTGAGCTTCTCTCCTCTTCAGCCAGCCCAGCCTGGTCAACTGCCTTTGCTGCTCCTCTCTTTCCACCTGCTGCCCATCCCTGCCCACTGTGCCCACATGGCTGCCGGGCCCGTCCCCTGCTCCAGCCCTTGGCCTCACCATGTCAGTGCCCAAGTCGATGCAGAGGATGGTCACGGTGCCCAGTGGCAGGGGGATGTTGATAATGATGAAAAGCAGGAAGGGGGTGATCTCGGGGATGTTGCTGGTCAGGGTGTACGCAATGGATTTCTTCAAGTTGTCAAAGATGAGACGGCCTGTGGGGAGTCATCAGGGAGATCTGCAGGACCTTCCCCACCCCTAGCCATGGAAGTGTGGCTGCCTGACTTTCCGAGAGGGGAAGATTTTGTGTGTGAGGGCAATTAACACCAGGGGCAGATGCCTGCGATCCCGACTTGCCTCTGGGATTGGGGTAAAAGGCATGGGAAGTAGTTGTGTGGGCAACAGCTGTCCTGGACGCCACCCCACCCATAGCCTCCTTACCCTCCTCCACGCCCGTGACTATGGAGGCAAAGTTGTCGTCCAGCAGGATCATGTCGGCTGCCTGCTTAGAGACGTCGGAGCCTGAGATGCCCATGGCTATGCCGATGTCTGCCTTCTTCAGCGCCGGGGAGTCGTTCACGCCGTCACCGGTCACCGCCACGATGGCGCCCTGGGAGAAGGTACAGCCCAGCTGGAGGGCGAAGGCCCTGCACAGGCCCAGCCCTGCCTTGGGCCGCCCCGCTCACCTGCCTCTGACAGCCCTCCACGATGATCAGCTTCTGCTGCGGAGACGTCCGCGCAAAGACGATCTCCGTGTGGTTCCGGAGGATCTCGTCCAGCTGCTCCGACGTCATGTCCTTCAGGTCAGAGCCGTGCACCACGCATGCCTTGGCCTCTCTGGAGGCAGGGCAGAGGCGCTGATTCCCGGCCCAGCCTGGCCGGCTCTCCCGACTGACACTGGGGCTCCAGTCTCTCCCAGGGCCTCCGCCACCTCTCCCTCAAAGCTCAGGGGCCTGTTCTTCCCATTTCTCTCTCTGAGGAGGTGGTGCTAGAGCCATGCCATGTGCATAACTGTAGTCAGTACAGTTTGCTAGGCGTGTGCTTGTTCCCTTACATGTACTTCATTGCTATAGCTACTCTGTGGCGTAGATAGAATTTTAATTTTGTAGTTGAGAAAGTGGAGGCTCAGACAAATAGGGTGACATCTCCAAGTTACATAGCTAAACAATGACACAACCTGGACACACTCAGGACTGAGGAGCCAGATGAAATGCCTATAAAGGTCCTCAGGGGTGCTGTCCTGATACCCCCAGTCCCACGCAGGCACCTTGTGGGAGAGGATGGGTTGCCTGGGCAGGGGGTCCTGCAAAGGCCTCACCTGGGGTTCACTTGACTGACAGGGATGTTGAGCCGGGCTGCAATGTCCTCCACAGTTTCATTGCCCTCCGAGATAATGCCCACGCCTTTGGCAATGGCCTTGGCTGTGATTGGGTGGTCCCCAGTCACCATGATCACCTGGCAGGAAGGAGAAAGGAGAAAAAAGAACAGGACAGCAGTTAAGCCCCTCTCCCCAAGCCTATTCCTTTTCCAAAATCAGGAAAAGGCAAATGGTGGGGCTCATAGACCCCAGACCAAATAATGAAGTGGAAGAGAGAGAGAGAGAGAGAGAGAGAGAGAGAGAGAGAGAGAGAGAGTTTTGATGCGTGGGTCAGTGGGGAGAGACAATGACAAGTGCGTTCTGATGATTAGAGAGAGTTTTTCTAAGTGGAGGAAAGCGGCCATGACGGAATAACATGTAAATGAGGGTCCCTTGAAAGACAAACCTTAAAGATTGTTTAGGAGTTTGGATTTCATGGGATATGAGGTTGTCAGAGCAATAGGACTCTTAACAGCTTCCTCCTGTTACCCATGACGAAGCAAAGGCCTGGACAGGGCTTGTGACTGCTCAAGGTCACAGGGAGCCGGAACTGGGACGTGGTTTTCTTAGTGTCCAGTACGATTGCAGCAGGGCGTCCAACTGGTCAGATCAGAGCAAGGATGACAGGGAGACAGCCCTTACCCCCCACTCCCCCTGACACCCCTCCATGATGTGGGAAGAAGGTGATTCCGGCCCCGTGATGATGCTCATTGTGTTTCAGAACAGGTGAAGTTGGTGGGGAGGGGTGGTTGGCATCCCAGAGGTGGGTTCAGAGGCTTAGACATAAGGAGATAGCATTTGCACGTGTGGGTTTATGAGGACAATTGCACAGATACCAAGAAGGAAGCCTCTCCAGGCCTCACTGCCTTCTCTTCCACCCCTAACACTCCACGGAAACTGCCCCCCAAAGGCTACCTGGGCCTCCCAAGGCAAAACAATAGCATCTTTGCTCTGGGGTGTTTGGCATTGTTTACCACCCCTCCTTAACACCGGTTCCTCCCTTGGCTTCCAGGGCCCCTCTATTCCTGCTTCCTCTCCACTCTTCATGCACTTTCCTACCCTCCTCAGGGGGCAGCCAAGAAGGGTGGAAGACGAGCCTTAGGAGTCAGAAGGCTCCTTTGGGTAAATGCTGACGTTCCCCAGCTCTGAGACCTTAGACAAATGCCTTCACCGGGTCTCAGCACACGCAGAAGGCGAGTCCTACCTTCCACAGTTGTCATGACGAGTATGTGGCAGTGGGTGGATGCTCAGTAAATGTTAGCTGTGTTTAATCACCCACTTCCCTCAGCCACCGGTTCCTATTCCTCTGCTTGCCCCCAACGTTGGTGTGGCCCAGGGTTTTATTCTCCTCCTCTTTCCTGACCCATACTCTTTTCCTGGACAATATTGAACATCACCCTTTGTAATTATCGACAGCCTAACTGGGTTTAAATCCCCAGCCCTGACCCTTTTTCTTGAGCTCTAAGCCATATTCCAGCTTGCCCGGAACATCTCTCCCTGGTGTCTTATAGACCCTTTGAGTGTACGGTCAAAATGAACTCATTATCTCCACTTGTAGCACCCCACCAAGCCTGCTTCTCTTCTCCCCACCTTAGAAACCGTCCCTCATCCATGAAGGCCGTTGTCTCCTGTCTCTTCCTCATCTCCCATATCCAGTTTATCACCAAGTTCTCAAAAGGTTTCTTGAACGCAACGACTCCCTTTTGTCACTGCCCTTGTTCAGGTCACCATCCCTTGGCTGAACTATTGCAATAGCTTCTTGCCTGTCTCCCTGACTTCAGTTCTTCTCCACATCTAGGCCTTCTTCCATTTGGAAGCTAGATTGGCCCTCCGACACCGCGGCCCTTTGTGGACCACATCTGGCATTTAAGCAAAGTCCTTCCAACTGGCCCTGGCCCCGTGTTTCAGCCTCAGTCCCCAGTGCTCCTCCGCCATCTCTCCCTGCAGCCCCCACACACGTCCCGTACAGTCTAACCACACAGGGTACGCACTGTTCCCTGCCTTCGACGGCCTTCCTCTCCCTCACAGCCTTATAAAATACTTGTGAACATCTGAGGCCCAGATCAAATATCATGCCCTCTATAAAACGTTGTCCGGTTCCCTGCGGCAGAATTAACTGCTCCCTGCTCTGGCGTCTCACAAAGGGGCTCCCTCCAGGTCTCTGTGAGAGTGCTGGCCGTGGCAAGAGGCAGTCTGATGAGCAGGGGAGCAGGTGCCGTGCTTGATGTAGCCAATCTGCCTCTTATTAGCGGAGTTATTTGGGGAAAGCTACTTACCCACTCTGAGTCTCAGCTTGTTTTATTTTTAAGTGGGGGTAGCAAAGCCTACTTTAGAGATAGAGTGGTATGGGGTTAAGAAATCACCTACATACACATATAGACAGACACAGCTTCTAGTGTGGTGGCTGAGAAATAGCAGACCACCTTGGTTCAAATCCCGGCCCTACTGCTTACTAGCTGTGTGGTCTTGGGCGTGTTACCTTGTGCCTTGGTCCCTCTGCGTAAAGAAGGGAAAATACTACTGTTTACTCCCAGGGTTGTTATGAAGATTCAATGAGATTATACAGGTTGAGTGCTAGAAGTAGTGCCTGATTCATAGAAAGTCTCACAAAACAATTGGCTGTTGTTGTGATTAGAGAATCTGACCTACAGTAAGTGCCACTTTGACTGTTCTCTGGTTAACGGCAAAGGCATCCGTTTCCCCCGAGAGACCACAGACTCTGGAGGCAAGGCTGTGTCTTTTTCTTTTTTATCCTCACCTGAGGGTATTTTTCCAGTTTTGTTCAGATAGACTGGGAGGGAGGAAGAGGAAGAGAAAGAGAGAGGAACATCGATGTGAAAGGGACACATCGAGTGGCTGCTTCCCGCATGACCCCAACCCGGGCCGGGGACGAATTGCAATCGAGGTATGTGCCCTTGACCAGAATAGAACCTCGACTCACTGGCTCACAGGCCGGTGCTCTAACCGCTGAGCCAAATCGGCCAGGGCTAGGCTGTGTCTTATTCATCTTTGAATCCCCAGTGCCTAGCACAGGGCCTCACCCTCAGTGGACAGTAGAGTTGAACTTACGTGGTAAGAGGTGAGGTACTGAAAAAAAGAGGAGGAAGCAATGACCCTACCTGGCGAGTCGCTAGGTTAAGGGGGGTGGTCCAGAGTTGTGTCTTTGGAACAGGAATGTCAGCTCCAAGATGGAAGGGATGTACGTCGGTTTGTTTGCTGAAGTCCAGCACCTTGAACAGTGCCTGGCGCATGGTTGGTAAGTGACAAATACTCGTTAAATGGAGAACAAGTGCAGCACCGAGGAGGCAGTGGCCATTGAGAAGCGATTCAGTGGGACAAGCAAACGCAGAAGAGGTGCTAAGTGTAATGAGGGCCGGAGCCACTCTCCAGGGTTCTGGGTGGGGGTGGGGGGCAGTGAGTAGGTGCAGACAGAAGCCTGCGAATCCCATCCCAGATGGCCCGAGAGAATGGGCAGTATCTGGGAGGGGTAGGGCACCGTATCTCCAAGATAGGGGTGCTAGGTCAGCTTGACGTCCCAACAGAACGAGCCAGGCCAGAAAGGGAGAGGACAGGTGTGGGAGACGTGCTCTGAGCACAAGGCACAGGGTGAGCTCCCCAAGGCAGCGGCCGACCTTTCCCTGTGGACGGTGGCTTCTCCCTTCAGTCAGTGAGAGAAGGACCACCAGTGGCTCGGCCAGCAGCCCCTGCCGTCTCTTGACCTTGAGAGTGTGGAAGGAGAGGGTAAAGGGGAGGAAGTGGGGCCAGTACCTTGATGCCAGCGCTCCGACACTTGCCCACAGCGTCGGGCACAGCAGCCCGGGGAGGGTCGATCATGGACATGAGCCCCACAAAGCAGAGCTTCTCCGTGGGGAAGTTCAGCTCGTCCGTGTCGAACCTGAAGCCGCGAGGAAACTTCCCAGAGGGCAGATTCAGTTGACAGAACCCTGAGAGGGGGCAGAAGGAAAGATTGAGAGCAGCAAGGTGGCTGCCTGACACCCCAACAGCCCCTCACCCCAGGAAAGCCACTGAGCCCTGGGAACCCCTTTCTCAGCCCTGCTCCTTCTTCTGGACCCTCACCCAGCACCCGCTCCCCCAGGCCGCCCAGCTCCATGTAGGCGTTCTGGAAGGCGTCTTGCATCTCCTTGTCCAGGGGGATCTCCTTGCCCTGCACCAGGATGGAGGAGCACCGGTCCAGGATGCGCTCTGGGGCCCCCTTCATCACCAGCACGTGGCTCTGGGGGCTGTCTTCTCGCTCATGGATGGACAGCTGGAGGAGGACGAGCAGTTACGGAGGGGTCATAATTGTCTTATTAGATCCATTGCCCAGCAGGGGGCCTGGGACAGAGTAGAGGCTGGTAAGAAACCCGCCCTTGAAAAGGAAGCCCTGACTCGTCAACCCTGATCAGCACAGGGGCAGTCTTCATGTGTGGAGAGGTGTCCGAACCTGAGTCAGCTTCCCATAGGACGTTCAGTGACTCGACACCTATTAAGATCCGTTAAGACAGACACTGTGCAGGGGCCAGGTGGCTTTCTTGTCGGCATTTCCGGCCACCATAGTGGCCTCAGGACTTTACTTCTATGTCCTACACAGGACGTAGCTGAGACGGTGTCCTTGGCATTTCACAGATGCCTACAGGCTGAGGAATGCCCTCAGGAAATTTCAGAAGTGTTTCAACTGAGTGTGATGAAAGGGTTGAGGGACTGGGGCCAGAAGATGGGGCGCTCTGGGAAGAAGAGTCAAGAGAGTAAGGAACGAAGGTCTGGGAGCTAAGGAGTAATGGCAACCAGGTCGGTCATCCAAGTTGCCCTGGGGAATAAGACAGGAGTGGGAGGACATGATGCTCAGGTGCCCCCACGTCTCATGTTGATGACTCCCCCTTGGCTTTGAGAACTCCCTCGTTTCTGTCCCTCCCCTTCCCGTGCCCCACTTCCCTACCAGACCTGGTACTTGTTGGTGGAGTTGAACGGGATCTCTGCCACCTTGGGGTTTCGGTCCCTCATCTTCCTCACGGAGCCGCAGGACAGCTCGATGCATTTGAGCAGCGCTGACTCAGAGGCGTCGCCAGCTGTGTCTCGCTGCCAGGAAAGAACGAGGTATCACAGTGGGGCCGGAGAAGGCGGAGGACCAAGGGTGGTGGGCGAAGCCCTGGAGGTCGCTGCAGGGTATGAGAGGGGACGCTGGGCATCAGCAAAGTGGATGGGCTATGGAGATGCCCTGGACCTCCTACCTTAGACACAGAGATGTTCTCCTGCCCGGCTTTGAAGACGGCGCGGTTGCAGAGGCCGGCAATCCGAGACAAGGCCGTCCACGTGGGAGATCGTTTGTCAAAAGTGGCCCCTGGGAGAAAATGAGGAAGAATCAGGAGCTTGATTCCCCTTCAGAGCCCTTATCTCTCTTCGCCCACTCCACCACCCAGGGTCCTGGGCGTTCCCCAGCCCCCGCCACCCCTCTGGAGTGCCCAGTCACCAGACTGGTCTTCCGTGGTGTCCGCCTCATGGATCTGGTTGTCGAACCACATGTGGGCGACGGTCATACGGTTCTGGGTGAGGGTGCCCGTCTTGTCCGAGCAGATGGTGGAGGTGGAGCCCAGAGTCTCCACCGCCTCCAGGTTCTTCACCAGGCAGTTCTTCCTCGCCATGCGCTTGGCTGTCAGCGTCAGGCACACCTGGTAGGAAGAGAGGAGAATAAAAAAGGGCCAAGCCCGAGCCGAAGATGTCGAGGACCTTACCCCGGAGCACAGCTCTAACCCTCCTCCTCCGATCCTGCACCACAAACACGAGTGGGACCTAGGTGTGAGCAGCCGAACTGAGGTCGTGGGCGTCTATTTGGGTGAAATGTCCAGAACGGAGTTGAAGGCATTTGTCTAGAGCTGCAGAGAGGGCCAGGGGAGAGCTGGGTGGAGGGGTGTGAGGGTCCCCCACACAGAACGGGCACTGAACACCGGGCCTAGTGTGTAAGGAGAAGAGCAGAGAGCTGAGGCCTGAGAGTCCGTTTTGGGGAGAAGGAAAAGACACAGCTGGGGACAGAGGAGAGGAGAACCAGGACAGTGATACGGCACAGTGATCAGCATTGGAGAGGACTCTCGGCCGGTGGACAGCAGTGCTCATTTCAGCCAGAGTTAAGGACAGGAGCTGGGAAAAGGTCACTGGATTTGCTCGTTAGTCACTGGTGACCTTTGAGAGCTTTTACGGAGAGTTGGCCGGGATGAGCTCCAGACCACAGGGCGCAGAGGCATAGTAATAGGTGGTGAGAAGAGGCGGCTATGACAAGCTCCGGGAGTATAGCAACCTGAGATTTTTCGGAGTCGATCTCTGAGTCGTGTGTTAAATGACCTTTTCCAGACTCACACCCTAAGCCGTGTATGATATGAGACTCTGCTATGTGATTTTAAGGGCTGGGAGGGAAAACCTTGCTGAGCAGCAATAAGCTTCTATCACTTTTGAGGTAACAAGACCCTCCCCTGGTGGCACCTCAGCCTGACCACTCACAGTGACAGTGGCCAGCAGACCCTCAGGCACGTTGGCCACGATGATGCCAATGAGGAAGATGACGGCCTCCAGCCAGCTGTAGCCCAGGATGAGGGACAGCACAAAGAAGGAGACGCCCAGAAACACGGCCACCCCTGTGATCAGCTGGATGAAGTGTTCGATCTCCATGGCTATCGGGGTCCGCCCAACCTCCAGGCCTGAGGCCAGAGTGGCTATGCGGCCCATCACTGTCCGGTCTCCTGTGGCAATCACAATACCCCTGGCAGTACCTGCAACACAGGAAGGGACATCAAACTGGGTGCCTCGGGTCCCAGGAGCAGAGGTCCTGAGAAAGGAAAACCACTCCAGAGAGTAAACGGACCAAAGACTCTGCTCCCGGAGTTGCCGTAGATTGTACCGCACTTGGCTTACTCTTCCCACCCAAAGCGCCAGCCCCAGACTCAGCGCCACAGCAAATTGTTTTCTCTTACACGTGGGCCTGTGGAAAAGGCTCGAAAATAAACTCACAGTTCAAACTGAGGCGATTCAATACGTGAAACAAACATATCGCCTGCAGTACTTCAGTAACGTCAGTCTCCTACTTGTTACCGGAAGCAGGTTGTGAACACAAAGTAAGGCACTTATTATGGATTTTCCATGGAGTCTTGAGATTTTCTTTCTCAACATTAGGCATGAATCTCTGTAGAAGCTAGGCAATCACTGACCCTTCCGAAGATGTTAGAGGGGCTGGCAGGGGCGGAAGGATGGGACAGTGGGAAGAGCATACCTGTTGGAGTCAGCCAAACCCAGGTCTGAATCCCTGTTTGAGTTCCTGCCTAGGGCTTGTTCTCATACTGAAATGAGATAGCACATAGTAGGCACGTTCCTATACTCTCTTCAAAGTCAATTCTAGAGCAAGCAATGGAAACACTTTGCTAGGCATTTTTATGTTTTTAAAATATGTTGCTATTGATTTTTTTAGAGAGGGAGGAAGGGAGGAGAGATAGAAACATCAATGTGAGAGAAAAACGTCGATCGGCTGCCTCCTGTGCGCTCCCTACTGGGGATCGAGCCAGACACCTGGGCATGTGCCCTGACCGGGAATCGAACTGGGACCTCTCAGTCCATAGGACGATGCTCAATCCACTGAGCCACACTGGCCAGGCTCCTAGGCATTTTTAACAATTGTAGAAAATGTAGAACAAACTTCAGAATCTCGGTACATTAAAAATTTAGGAAATTTAATGTGTGGTGATTTTCATTGTAATTCCAACTTGCTGAAAAAGTCCAGAGGAACATCTCCACTGAAGAGAAATGACAAATATGAGGGGAAAGGTGTGGAGGTGGGGTGCAAGGCCTTCTTTGGTTTACTGCCGGAGGCCCGTGGTCTGGTCAGGCCTCTTTCTCCTATCAGCTCTTGCCTTCCACTCTCACTCCGAGTGAGCCCTGACTCGGTTCACTGGCGTGATCACAGAGGGCACAGGTTGCAGTTGTATGTGGACATCAGACGCTAAGGGGTGGCAGCTCCGGGAGCGCTCACTGGCTTTGGGTCATCTCAGAACCCAGAACAGGTAAGGGACAAACGGGGCAGACTAAGCATGACAATTTCTCTTGGTGAAGCGCAGTCCTAGATACAGCCTGGATGAGGACCCAAGTATCCACTTGGCTTGGAAGCTTCCCTACCCCTTCCCTAGCCTGAGGCTCTGGTCAAAGTAGGGGTCAGAGAAGAAGGCAACAAACTCAGGAGAAACCGAAGGTATTAGTCAAGCCAAAGACACCCAGGAGTCAAGGCTGGCTTGGAACGTGTGTACGTGTGAGCGTGTGATGTGTAAACATGTACGCATATGAGTGTGTGATATGTGTGCATATGTGTGTGATTTGTGTGTGTGTGTATATGTGATATTTGATTGTGAATGATGTGTGTGAGTATGTGGGTCATATGTGTGCATGTGTGTGAGTGTGAGAGTGTGTGTGTGCAGGGGAGGGTCTTGGCCCAATACCTAAAGACTTGGGAACCCACTCAGTGTTAGGGTGGCCAGAACAGAGATCTTCCTGTGGGGAGGTAACTTTTCCACAGAGTCATGCCATCTCAGCCAATACCCTGCTTTCTGGAGGGGACGATTTCTGTAATATTTAGAAATCCCCATCCCCAAATCCTCAATTTCCTCCTCTATAGCAGGGTTTTTGACAAGTAATTCTGACTGAGGGTTCAGGATTCAGACTCCTCCCTCGGGGGGTACTAGGATGAGGAACACCCCCCCCCCCCCACACACACACACACTATTCTGGCCTCTCACCTTCCACACAGTTGGTAGAGAAGAAGCAGATATTGCGGGTCTCCAGGGGATTCTCATGGGTAAACTCAGGGGAGCGGGTCTGGGGCTCTGACTCCCCAGTCAGGGATGAATTGTCCACCTGGGGAGGAAGAGGGAAGGGTGTAGTCATCCAACTGGCAGACACACTTATGCATACACAGCTGTCTTCTGACTCCAACTGCACTCAATCTCCATGACACGAGGGACAAAATTACACTTGTCCTCATCACATATTTATAGCATCACTCAGCTATTGTCCCTGTGCTGGTTTGGTTTGGCTCTTACTAGATTCTATGTGACCTTGGGCTAGTTACTTAGCCAACAGAGCCTCCATTCACTCATCTGTAAAATGGGGACTGTAATCATAATCTGTGCATTGCTCAACCACAGGGGGAGCCACCAACACTGTAGTTTATGAAAATGGCACTGCCTGGTGTGGCCACATGCAACAGCGCATCTGACAATAATTGGTACTCAATGCAAGGTGGCTATAAACAGATATCAAAGAAATACCTAGGGTGCAGAGCATTCGTCACACACAGATACAAGGAGACAACGCAGAAGCATTATACATGAGTCAAGGAGCAGCTGGGAGATACGGGGTTAGGGGTTGGCCTTTGGACCAAGTTCTCCCTATCTTCAAGCCTCTAACAGGGTCCCTCTCAGTTCTACTCATCCTTCTTCTTAGACTCAGCCAGTTGCTCTGGCATGGCCTCCTCACCTTACAGCCATGAGAAGAGATGATCCGGAGGTCTGCAGGCACGCGGTCTCCACCCTTCACTTCCACCAGGTCTCCCACCACCACTTCCTCTGCGTTGATCTGCATCTTCTCACCCTCCCGCACCACGAGGGCTTGCTGTGGGGAGGCCATGGGCATCTCGTGAAACGCGTGTCTCTACCCCTACCTTTCTCTCCTGCTGCTTTCCCATCTCTCCTTCAATCCCACTAGGGAGGAGAAGCCCTGCACCCGTAGCAACAAAAGCAGGTCCTGGAGTGGAGACATAAAGGGACTGTGCCCAAGCCTCCATCTCAGAACACAAATTTGAGAAGGAACGAGCTGGACCCTCCCAGAAACCTTGTGCCCTACCCCAGAGCCCAGCTTGGCCATCTACCTGCGGAACCATGTTCTTGAAGGAATCCATGATCTTGGAGCTCTTGGCCTCTTGGTAGTAGGAGAAGCAGCCAGTGACGATGACCACAGCGGCCAGCACCACACCCAGATATAGCTGGCAAGGAAACGGGGTTTGGGAGATCTGCCCATCTCCCAACCCTAGAGGGCCAACTGCCACATGGGACATGCATTAAATTCTCCCTTTGTCTGTGACTGGAAGTGAAATGGTAGAGGGAAGTCCTAATCTCCTCATCAGTCTTCCAGTCCCCAACCTCCTAAGACTGGAAGTGGTAGAGAGAGTCTTAGGGAATTCCAGGACTAGGACTTCTCCAGGGGGTGAAGACCGAGGGATGGCAGCCCACTTAAGTGTGAAGGAACAGAGCAGAGCTTTCTCATTCATGAGTGACTGTGTGTGTGTGTGTGTTGGGGAGTTTTTAGAGATATGTACAGAAGCCTCACCCCTTTTCAGCCTAAAGAAAACTGTGATGTGAGGGTCTTGTTTCCTGCCCTCCAGCTACACTGGAGATTCAGGGTTGAAGGACAGAGTCATGGGCTGGTCCAGGGGTTAGGCATTTCCGCTCACATTGTCGTTCGATGGTTCGTCTTCCATAGCAGCCTGGATGCCATAGGCCAGGAAGCAGAGGATAGCACCAATCCACAGAAGGATGGAGAAGCCCCCAAAAAGCTGGCGACAGAACTTGACCCACTCAGGGGTTGTCGGGGGTGGGGTGAGGGCGTTGGGTCCATCCCGAGCCAGAATGTCCTGGGCCCGCTGGTTGGTGAGGCCCTAAGGGAGGCAAAGAGAGCGTGGGAGTTTGCATCTGGAACCAATCATCTGATCCCTCACCACTTCCCACAAGCTCTTTGGCAGGGAATAATGTCCAGGTGGAGAGAAAAATCCCACCTGGTTGGAAGGGGTGAGGGACCATCAGGAGAGACCATGTGAAGGAGGTGGCGTTTGCAATGGGTGTTAGAGGCCTTGAAGGCTGAGGAAGATTTTGAGTGTGGCTACTTCTCTTCATCATTGGATTGAGACACATTTTGGGCCACAATAATCTCCTCTGGAGGCATCCTGGCTAAGGCTCCCAGGAAAGACATCTTAATTGGTTCCTACCCTGATCTCTCTTTTTTCAGATTCCCCACTTCACCAAGGATTATTGTCATTACACCAAGGATTTAAGAAGAGGCCTACAGTATTGACCATCGACGTTGCACAGCTTCAGCAATCACCCATCACTTTCCCCAGAAAGCCTTGCCTGGCCCTGTTCCCCTAGCCCCAGGCTCATCCAGATCCCCTCTCTGCATCCCATTACATCCCAGGCATGATTCTAGGGTTGCGCTCACCATGTGGCACTCGAATTCTGTTTGCATTCCCTTTTTTTTAAAAAACAATTTTTTTTCTTTATTGATTTTATTTTTCTTTTTTTAATTAATTTATTTTTGTTACAGATATTTCTCCTTTTTATCCCCATTGACACCCTCCTCCCCATCCCCCCACCCCATCCCCAACTTTGTTGTCCATGTCCATCGGTTATGCGTACATGCACATAAGTTCTGTGGTTTATTTCTTCCTCCACCCCCCCCTTCTGAGGGATGTCAGTCTGTACCCTACTTCCACATCTCTGGGTATACCCTGTTCCTCAGACTATTATGTTCATTATATTCCACAAATAAGTGAGATCATGTGATATTTGTCTTTCTCTATTTGGCTTGTTTCGCTTAGGATAATACTCTCCAGGTCCCTCCATGTCGTCTCAAAGGATAAGAGATCTTTCTTTCTTTTTTTTTTTTTTGTGGTACGTGCCCCTAGCAGGAACTGAACCCGGGACTCTCTGATCCGCAGGTCAATGCTCAACCGCTGAGCCAAACTGGCAAGGGTGAGATCTTTCTTTCTTACAGCTGCATACTGTTCCATTGTGTAAATGTACCACAGCTTTTTTATCCATTCATCTACTGATGGACATGTGGGCTGTTTGCAGATCTTAGCTATTGTAAATATTGCTGCTATGAACATGGGGGTACATATATTCTTTCTGATTGGTGTTTCAGGCTTCTTAGGGTATATTCATAGAAGTGGGATATTTTTTTCTTTATTGATTTTAGAGAGAGGAGGGGAGAGGGAGAGAGAGATAGAAACATTGATGAGAGAGAACATCAATTGGCCGCCTCCAGCATGCCCTCCACTGGGGATTGGGCCCATAACCGGGGCATGTGCCCTGACCGGGAATCGAACCAGCGGCCTCTTGGTGCATGGGTCGACACTTAACCACTGAGCCGTACTGGCTGGGTTGTTTGCATTCCTTTTGCTTCTAGACTTTGAGATCCTTAAAAGCAGAGGCCACTTTTTATTTATCTTTTGATCTGTCCACTCATTTATTTAATAAATGTGTATTGAATGCCAGGCTCTATTATCAGCTCTGGAGACCCAGAGATGGACAAGACCCACAAAGCCCCTGCTTTGTGGAGCTTTGATCTAGGGAGGTGACACACAATCAATAGATATTACTGCCCTGAATGATTTGGGTCAGTGGTTAGAGTGTTGGCACACGTACCGAAGGGTCGCAGGTTCGATTCCTGGTCAAGGGCACATATGTGGGTTACGGTCCGGGCGGGTGCGGGTAATTGATGTGTCTCTCTCACATCGATGTTCCTCTTTCTCTCTTCCCCTTCCCCCATCCCTTCCCCTCTCTCTAAAAAAATCAATGGAAAAAATACCCTCAGGTGAGGATTAACAAGAACAACAAAAGGGTTGGATGAGTTTTAAGGTCCCTTGCACCCTGCTGCTGCATGGTTCTGTCACCTCTTTGGTGTCCCCTCCAGTGCCCCTCCACTCACCTTGGACAGGTCCACTTGGTATTTACGGCCCAGCTCATCCAAGGACAGCTTGTGGTCATCCTGGGGAACAGAAACGGAGTTACTTTGGGGAGGGAGGCTGAGTGTGTGTGTTTAGAATGTATGTGAGGTCAATGAGGGGCAGAGAGGTGAGGCTAGGGGCACGGGGGTGGGGGTGGGGGAGGTAGGGGCAGGGGCATGAGCTTCTCTGAGTGCACCAGGCTGCAGGGTAGTTCTCCTAGCACGGGTCCCCTTTCCACAGCCCAGCTTGGCGGGCTGTGAGCTCACCATGGCCACCTCCTTCTTCAGCTCATCCAGCTCCCTCTCTTTCTGTTTCTTCTTGCCGCCTCCATTCTCTGCGGTTGTGGCTGCAGGTGAATACTCGCGTCCAGCCTTCAGGAAGAAGGGAGAACCCAGAGAGTCAGGGAGGACAGAGGCTGGAGACCATTCCCACCTGACAGCAAGGATCCCAGGCATCGGGAGTGGGGGCAGTGGATTCAGAGCAATGCTGTTCCAGGGGAGGAAAAGGCGGGAGGGTGAAGGGAACCCCAGGCCCTGAGTTTGCAAACTAGTGACAGCCATGGGGCCCTGTGTGTGAATTTCAGGGAAGACAGTGGGGTTCGGGGCTCAGGAGTCCACTCTCAGTTGTTTAGTAATTGGACTTCTGCTAAGATTTTGTTTGTTGAATGAACTCTGCTGCTAAATACAAAACAAAATAAACCAAAACTTTAAAACTACTACCCTACACCACTGAGAATCCTGAAAGAGTGTTGGGAAGGTGGTGGGGGTTAGAAGCACCATGTAAGGATGTCTTTGTCCCAACATCATGGCAACTCTATCCAGAGAGGCGTAGAGACCGTTAGGAATTTTGGGTAGTAAGAGCCTTTGGGGAGCCAGAGGTCAGGGCAGGAAAGTATCTAGAGGACTGGGAGCCAACAGGGCTTGGTGGTGGGACGTGGAACTAGAATGAGCAGGGCTCATGAACTGAGAGAAGTCAGTAGTTGGAGGGTCAGAGTGTGTCTAGAAAATGGGGACGTGGAATTTGTCAGGAGCCCGCTCCATGCTGCTGGGCAGGCCTTTTGTAGGGGGGATTTGGGCAAGAGGCAATTTGCAGGACTTGAGGCCCCAAAGCGGAGCTAGGTAAGAAGTCAAACAGGCCCCATTTGTCCAAAATTTTAAAAATTGTCTCTGAGGATAAATTTAAAACTAAAAGTGCCCTGGCAGGTTCGGCTCAGCGGTTAGAGCATCGGCCTGCGGACCAGAGTCCCGGGTTCAGTTCCCGCTAAGGGCAAGTACCTTGGTTGCAGTTTGTCCCGGCCCCGGTTGGGGTCATGCAGGTGGCAGCCAGTCGATGTGTCTTTCTCACATCGATGTTTCTCTCTCTCTCTCTCCCTCCCTCCCTCCTTCCCTCCCGCTCTATCTGAAGATAAATTCAAATACATAAATAAACAAATAAAACTAAAAGTCATGCAGCTCCTAGGTCTAGGCACTCCTGGGTCCTCTGGTGAGATCAGGCAAACACCTTATCAGGAGCCTCATGAGGCCACGGTTTTCCCTTCAGCACCTGAGGCCTCCTCACCACCACCAGACTTCCACGGTCTCCCGGGGAACTTCTCTCCAGGGGAGGCTGTCTTGGGGTGATGGGGCAGGAGAGGGGCCGGGGAAGGCCTGGGGTGGCCCTGACAAGTAACTTTTCACTCCTCCTTCCTCCCCAGGCCCCGTGCTCTCCTTCCCTCAGGATATTGCGGTGTCCGTCACAGGGGCTGCTCAGTTTCTATCTCTATGCTAGGTGTTCAGGGATGAGCTTTTCTACACTACGGTGTAATTTCTTTTTCATAAGGAAGGGATACCTGGGTGGGATTCATGGCAAAGGTGTTTGCCCTTTTGGGAAGTATAATGCATTTTTTAAAGTAAACTTTTCCGTTAGAGAAGTTTTACATTCACAGCAAAATGGAGTAGAGAGCACAGAGATTTTCCCATGGATCCCTGTCCCCACAAGGGTAGTCTCCCCGGCGGTCAACATCCCCGACCAGAGCGGCCAGAGCGGCACACCTGTTTCTGTCTACAAACCTACCCGGACACATCGTTACCACCCCAAGTCCAGGGTTTGCCTTAGGCTTCGCTCTCAGTGGTGTACATTCTACAGGTCTGGACAAGCGTGCAAGGACAGGCATTCACCAGCACGGTGTCATACGGAAGAGGTTCCCTGCTCAGAGCCCCTGCTGCGCCAGGATAATGCCTCGCTTCCCACCAGAGTGAGGAACGATTCCAGGAATGCAGCAGTGGCCCCGATCTAGTCCCGGAATCCAGACCCTGGCGAGGGAGGAGTCTGGCCAGTGACATCAGGATGACAGGCAGTGAGAGTGGACACCGTGGTCCCCTAGGCAGGAAAGTTTGCCTCTCTCTCCATAGGAAGTGTCCATGAGACTAAAGCAGCCCTGCAGAGGGGTGGAGGGCTTGCAGGGAGTGCTGCCTCCCCTCCCCCCGTGTCTGAGGAGAGCTCACTGAGTGAATTGAAATGCTTGGGATTCACCCACTCCCGGGGGGGGGGGGGGGGGGGCGCAGGGCTGAGAAATGGACGAAAGACAAACGCTCAGGCTGAACAAGCCTCACTGTGGCCCTCGGAGCTTTGGCGAGGCCCCTGGAGCTTCGGGCCAGAGGCGGGGCTGGTGTGCCCAGGGAAAGGGTGCAGCTGGGGCAAAGGAGCCGAGGCCCGATCATTCCTGTACATTCAGATGTGAAATCAAGTTCATGAAGCTTAGAATCCAATGGATGATTTTAAAACACATTGCCAGCCCACGCACTGTGGGCTTGTTGGAGGGTGGCTGAGCTAGCAGCCCCACGCAGCACCCCTTCCCTCAGCTCCCACCCTGCCTCCTGGCTCAGAGCTTGGGACACACGGCCCTTCCCCCACCCCTGCCCTGGCAAGGATCTCAGCCTCTGTCGCCAGGAGCCTGTGGAGATTTGGGGCCAGCGGGGCCGCCTGGGCAAGAAAGAAAGAGAGGAAGCAAGGACCCCCCCTACACACACACCCACCTCCCCAGCCTGTTCCTCCCTCCCCCAACCACAAGTCCGAGTCTGGGGCTTGAATGCTGAAGGAGAACAGAGAGTTCTTTCTGAGAAAGCCAGAGGCTGGGACAGAGTTGGGGAAACTGGAAGTCAGCCACGACTCCCCCCACCTCAGCCTCTTCATGGCAGCTGGAGCGGCCGGTTCCCTCCCACTAGTGCCGTCCCTTCCCCCAGCTCCACACTGCCCTTCGGACACAGAGGAATGGGGTGACAGTCGGCCTCACTCGGAGGGAATATGCGGGGCACGAGGCAGAGGCAGAGTTGACCTCAGTGCGGGTGCTGGTGGGGGTGCTTCTGGTCCCCAGGAGTCTCCTGGTGGGTTGAACTCCAAGCTGCAGCCCTAAGTCTCCCCAGATGACCACCCCCTCAGTCTCAGCGAAACCAGATCTGCTCCCTGACTTGCGACCAGGGCTGGCAGGGAAGGGGACTTCATGAATGCGGAGGGAGCAGCAGTCCCCAGCAGCTGGGGCCCCTGAAGAGGTCAAGGTCAAATGGCTTCCCAAGCAGGAGCTCTTGAGCTGGGTCCACACTGTTTTAAGGTGAAGCAGCCGAGAGGGCTTGGGGTGGGGGAGTGGAGGGTCACATGGCCGCTCCTCAGAGGTCCTGCTCCTCAGCTGGGACTCCCTGGCCCTCAGGGAACAAGAGACCCCAAGGTGCAGCTGAAGGTCCCAAGACAGCAATGTCTTCCCACAGTTGTCACCTCTTCCTCTATGAAGCCCCCGCCCCCGAGACAGCTTCTCACAGACCCTCCCACACAGTGACATTGATGCCCACGCATGCTTGGAGGCCCGTATATTCTCAAATGTGTCCGCTGAGACACAAACACAGGTGCTCATCCATGAATATCGGTATCAACTCCAGCCTATGGAGAGCACATGGGTCGCAGGCACAAGTGCACGCGCAGGCACACACACTCACACACACACGCGCGCACACACAGATTCTATTTATGGCTCTCACCCTAGCTCAGGAACCCTGGTGTCCAAGCTTATAGTTTTTCCAGCTGCTAAACTCTGTGCAATAACAAGTCCTTGCCTGACCCCTCCAAGGCCCAGAAACTCCCCACAGTCCCACAGGCCCCCCTCTTTCCCCAGCACCCCCCATGGTTCCCTGTGCCCTTTCCCTCTGTGCCCAGCATTGCACGAAAGGAAAACAGCAGGCGCCGTGTGTAAAAGGATTGGGTCACTTTTCTCCATATGGAGATTTCATTTCCAAGTATCCAAGGCCTGGTGCCTGCCCCCCACCTCAGTCATGGTTGTTAACCTTCCCCTTGGCATTCCCAGGGCTGTAGAATATCACTGGCGGGGGTGGGCGGGGGTGGGGGCCAGGGGCCAGGCAGCTCTCAGCAGACTCTGGGAAAGTCCTCCAAGCCTGTGGCCCAGACAATGCTGCCAGGACATCGGAGGGTGCTGGGCTGGGGCCTGGAGACACATCGTTTTCCCTCCCCACACCCTCCCAGCTGTCCTTGGAACTCAGGGCCCCTGGAGCTGGTGTCCGGAACTGCTTGGTGACTCAGGAGCAGTTGCTCTCCTGCCCCTCTTCAACCTCAGATTGGACCTCCGTCCTCTCAGGCGGGGACTCCCAGAGAAATGGGTCTTTGCAGGAGTGGTGAAGGAAGGAGGGTCAACAGTGCCAAATATCCCTTCAGCTGGAGGCCAGGCGACGTGGTGAGAGAGGAGGGGCTGGGCCAGATGCGGGGCAGAGGTGCGGATGCGCTGGGGCAGAGCCGGAGGGGCTGCGGGGCTGATCCCGGTGCTGGAGAGGACAGCACTTGGGCATGCGAGGGGTGGACCTGCGGCTGCCTCTGCAGCTGGGACACAGTTCCGAGTTCCAACCACCCCGACAGCTCAGCTTCTCCCTGCCCCTCCCTCTACCCCATCCCACCGCACGTTTTTCCTCTGGCCTCTCTCAGCCTCCAGAGAGCCCGTCTCTTTCCCACAGAGCGGCCCCTGCTCTTCGGGAATACTCACCCCACGGCCCATCTTAGGGCAGAGTGGCTGAGGGGATCTAGACTGGAGAGGTTAGCAGGAGAGTTCACAAGCCCCACCGCAGTCTGGGACGGCCAGAGACCAAGGCAACCAGACAGATGACCAGCAACAGGGTAGCTTTAAATAGGTCCCTTTCCCCCTCTCCCCCGCCTTCCCCTCCTCTGGAAAGAAACGTTTGTTGAAACAGGATCCCCGAGGACTCCTCCCCTCCCGCCCCTAAAGCACTGGCCCACTGGCCGTGCGGCGTGAGTATGTCCTACTGCGTGCTCCCCCAGCCCCTCCCGGTGCCCTGGGGAGGCAGTGCAGAGGGACAGGCGGAGGGGAGCAGTCCTCCCAGCATCCCAGGATGCCAGAGGACACATGGCCCACCCTTCCCTTTGTGTTCCCGATAAAGAGACTCAGGCACAGAGAGATTAAATAATATGAGCGGATAGAACCAGAAGCCAGGTTTCCTGAGCCTCCATCCAACCCCTCCGAGAAACAGAGGCTGTTCTCTCTACTGTAGAGGTTAAAGGGACCCTGAAGCCAGAAAAAGCAGCTAGTGTTGGAACCCAAGCCCGGTCCTTGTAGACGAGGCACCTTGGAAGGACCCGGTGAGAGCCAAGGGCAGCGAGCGGCTCAAGGCAGCACAAAGTCTGGACAAGGCGGGAAGGGGGTGTCGCCTCCGCTGGACGAGGTGGGAAGGGGTGTCCATAACCCTATGACAGCTAGTTCAGGGGTAGAGGAGATGACCCAGGGCGAGACCAGCTGATCTGGTGGTGGCGTTGCTGTCCGTTTGATAAAAGCCAAAGAATGAGGGGCAAAGGGAGGGAGAACCAGAAGGCGCAGAGAGAGAAAAAACCCACCCCTGCCTTCTCCTGGGAGTAATCAGAGGAAGGGTTCTCCTGGAGGGTCCCCATTTTTCTGGACACACAGGGGAGCGAAGGAAAGCCAGAGGACTGGGAACAAGTCTGAGCATCCTGAGTCCAAAGGAAGCGAGGAGGAAAGGAGGGCGGGGATGGGGCCCTTGGTTCAGAGGCTTCGAGGGCCACTGGCTGGGCTGGGTCCATCCCTGGCCCCGAAGGTAACTCTGTGCAGAGGGATTATCAATCTTTCCTCCCACAAATCCACTCTGAGGGTACAGGGCAAAGTCTGAATTACTCGAATCACTGGTCCCTTCACGGGATTTTCCATTTCAGGTATCGGAAGGTCACACCCTGCTTCCATCCTCGTTCATCGCCTCCTGGGTTACAAGCGGAAAGCAGGTAGGACGGGCAGCACGCTCACTCTCTGGGCCCCTCGGTTAACCTTGACTTTGGGCCTGGAAGAGAACAGGCAGCTGGAGGAAACACGGAGGAAAACGCCCTGTTCAAGCTCCTGTGTGTAGAAGAGAGTGGGAGATGTAGCTGAAAACGCAGCAAGAAGTCTCGCAGTTAGACATCAGGAGAGACTGCCTAGGGAAGTCGCAAGCCACAGGTGGCAGGTCACGCAACATGGGGGCAGCGGAAGGGCAGCCATGCGCTAGGGTCAGAGCGGACAAGAGGATGCCTGGGGATTTAGGAAGCACCTGTTGCTTATTTCCTGGGTTGGGATTCTGGGGTATCTTTGGCCCAGCCCTCTCTAGGACACAAGGTGAGATGGACGAGAAAATTACCCCCAGGACCTGAAGGTGTAGCTGTCAGGTGCTGGGCTCTCGTAGTTTCTACTTCCCCACCCTCACCCTGCTGGTACCCCCCAGAACTGCCCAGTCTTTCCAAGGCCCTGGCTCTGGTCCCTGTGGCCAGGCCCAGTACCGGAAAGGATTATGCCCTTCCTGTGCCCATATGGCCTGGCGGGGTTCCCTGCCATGCTTTGCGCTGGGGCCGGTGCACAGCCCCAAGGGCACTGCTGCTCCCACATGTGGGGCTCAGACGAAAGAAAGAGTGGACAGGACACCCAGGGCCTGTTCCTCATCCACGTGTCCCTGAACACTCTCCCTGCCCAGGTAAGTGTGGAGGCTCCCTGACTGTGGAACTCAGGCTCCAGGACGTGGATGGTGTAGATACCTGGTCCTTTGATGTGGTGCCTGGGTGGGGCCACTGCTGGCTTTGGGCACAGCCAGTGGTGCCAGTTTGGATCAGGGCCTTGGGATGAGAGGAGGGACGCAGCGCGTCAACAAGACTGGGAGGGAGGAGGTGGAAAGCCAGGGGGACTGTCTGGGAGTGGGTTTGAAAGTCACAGGGCAGAGAGGGGACCGCCAGAGGGCAGGATGGGGGCTCCCGAATTAAATGCGTGGTTGGCATGGGGAAATCTGGGAAGTAGGTGTGTGTGTGTGAGAGAGACCAAGAGAGGATCAGAGACAGAGAATAGTACATTGCATGTCTGTGTGTGTACCCACGTGTGTGCCAGTTGATAACCCAGGGGAACATGACTGTTTGGGCTCTGTGTGCGGGGAAGAGACAGGAGGAGGCCACACTCGTTCGGATGTGGAGCAGTGTGTGCGCCAGCCAGGAGCACGTGCGCAGCCGTGTGGAGCCGTGGGGTGTACGTGAGCGTGCATGGGAGCATGTGCGCGTGCACGAGGCAGGGGCGGGAGCCGCTCGCTGCAGATGGGCTTTCAAGGTCTCCAAGAAACAGTTTTGTTTCCTAAGTGACTGGCCTCCTGGGGCCTCCAGCCCAGACTTGAAGGTTGTTTCAAGATCATGAAAGAGAGAGGGAGGGAGAGCGGGAGGGAAGGAGCCCTGGGAGCCTCTGTCACCCCCACTGTCCCTCCTCCCGCCCCTCACCCCACTTCTCTGCCTCAGTCTGGGTTTGGGCCAAGCCCTCCAGCCCTGTCTGTCTCCTCCTCCCTGCCGCCAGCCCTCTCTGGGCAGCCTCTGCTTTTCTCCCCCTTCCATTCTCTTCTTCATGGACTTGTCACCATGACCAGGCTCCTGGGCCTTCTGGGGGTGTCAGTGAACATTGTTTCTTCCGTGGGGAGGCTGTTTTGGGGTGACAAGATGGACAAGGGGGCTGAGCGGGCCTGGGGTGGTCTTGACAAGTGTCCGACGAAGGTGCCTTTTACACACTTTCCCTCCAGCCCGCTCCCCTCCCACTTGCCCAGGGTTGTAGGGTGGTCGGAAGGAAGGCAGAGTGGCTGCCCAGGTCCCTGTGTCCCCACTGGACCGCGGGCCTGTGCTGGCTTTCTCTCCGTCTCGCCCTTGACGTCCGCTCGCTGCTTTCTTTCTGGTCTTTCTTCTCAGTCCACTCCAGTGGAGTCTAAGCACCTCTCCCCTGTCTCTCTCTCTGCTGTCAGCTCTCATCGTCCCCCCAGGTTGTTCTTCTAAATTTTTATTGTTCATACCGCTTTAGAAAGAATTTAGAAAATGGAGAAAAGAACGCGGGAAGAATTTCCTTCAGCCTCTCTGCCTCTGCTCCAACCCTACTTCTTATTTAAAAATATATTTTTTAAGGTGAATTTTTAAAAATTGATCTCAGAGAGAGCAAGGGGTGGAGAGAAACATCAATGTGAGAGAGAAACATCGGTTGGTTGCCTCCAGCTCATGCCCTGACTGGGGATCGAACCCACGACCTGGGTATGTGCCCTGGCTGGGAATTGAACTGCCACCTTCTGGTGTATAGGGCGACACTCCAACCAACTGAGCCACACCGGCCATGGCTTTAAAATTTTTTATTTATTTATTTTTGAAGGAGGGAGGGAGGGGGAGATGAGAGAGAGAGAGAGAGAGAGAGAGAAAGAGAGAGAGAGAGAGAAACATTGATTTGCTGTTCTACTTACTTATACATTTATTGGTTGATTCTTGTACGTGGCCTGACCGGGGATCGAACCTGCAACCTTGGAAAATCGGGAAAACAACTGAGCTACTTGGCCAGGGCCAATCCTAATTCCTTTGTCCTCTGACTGCTCTCTGGGTGGGTAGCTCCATGTTCATGTCCCAACTGAACCTGCAGGTGGAACTTGAAGGGAGAAGAAGAAAAGGATCAACAGTGTTGTTCAGGGGTCCATGTCAACCCTCCTCCCTGAGCGTGATGGTCCAGGGCTGCTCTGGGCCTCTGTCTTCCCACCTGCACTCCTGTGCCCCCCACCATGCCCTAACGTGAAGGGCACCTGCCTGTACGCTGGTCCTGGTGGGGCTATTAACCAGCTGTGTGACTGTGGGCAAGAGGTACCCCCACTCTGGCCTTGTGTCTCTGTCTGAACAACGAGGAGCAGAGGGTCCCTTTGTAGCTCTGAGGAGTCCCAGATTCCCACATTCCAGCGGCTTCCTCCTCAGCTCACGTCTCAGCTGAGGTGAACAGGAGGTCTCCTGGAGCTGTGTTTATTCGAGCACCCCCTGTTGGAGGCCTGGGTTCAGATGGAGATCCAAGGGGGCAGGTGCTAATTTGTTTATTAGTATAACCCACAGAAATGAGTCCAATCCCTATAATTCTTGGCATGGAGGCAGGGAAGGGCTCAGGGTCTGGGCGGAGACCACCTGGTTTCTTACAGAGAGCCCCTGGGATAGAGGACAGGGCTGGGAATGAGGTGGAAGGACCCTGGCATTTCTTGGTTGGCAGTGGATCAGCAAATACCAGATGAATCTGTTTCCAGAGAATCTTTGGGCTAGGAAAAGTGTGTCAGGGGTGATGGCGAGGCTGGGGTTAATGGGCCTTACTGAGCATGGGGGCAGGAGTCATAGCTAGGCCCTCTAGGGTTCCTATTTGCCTTTGATCCCATCTGGTCAGGGAGGAAGCGGCCCCCCAGCCTCCTGAGGCAGGTTTGCTTTGGCCTGAGATCTGACCCAGCCACTGGCCCAGAGCACCCCGCCTCCCTGTTCCCCCTATCAAGAGGCAGCCTGGCTTGGCCCCCTGCCTCCTCCTTCCTACTTCTTTTTTCCCTTACCAGCCCCCCTCCAGTTGACCCAGGATATAGCTCTGTTTGTCTGACTGTCCCCTTTGGAGTTCCAGGTGCCCAGCTAGGACAGGATGCCCTGCAAACATCTGGCCCACAGGGCTGCAGCCTCGCTCCCACATAACCAGCTCGCTTTGGGACTTCAGAGAGCTCAGCCTCCTCGTGCCTCTGTTTCTCTGCAAGTCCAGGACCCCTTTCCCCCTGTGCTCCTGTTTGGATGTTCTCAGCACTGCCCCTTTGAAATGTGAGT